CATCCCAACTTCCTACTTTAACTTTCCATTCATATAATTGTCTACTCTTGTTAAAGTTTTAAAAAAAATTCCCAATGATATACAATGAAAAGACTTCTTTTTCTCAACCTGTCTTAGTAGGCTTTATGTCAGGTAAGGTTTTATGGACTTGTACTGCAAAGATATAAGTTTATATTACATAGAAGGAATATAGGAGAAATATTGCTGATTAAAAAGCATCCTACCATGTGCATCAAGGAAGGAAAATGGAAGTGGGATTGAATTGTAAGTATGAAGTTCTGTAATAGGAGATTCTGAATGCCCATTGGCCATTTATCCCTGGAATGGAATGGATACTAGCGCCACAGCTATTTATATTTAAGTCTATAGGTGCGGACAGTTTTGTGAGCAGTAAAATAAAGAATCTATAATGCAGCATGTGTAAGGGCTGTCCTGGGTCACCATCTGAAGTCATCTTACTTCTATCTCAGCTGTCCAGTACTTATGCTTTGTGGGGCAAGGACCCGTGAGGCTGCTTCAGCAGTCGGAGCAGGACCTGGCACTCAGCAGGCTGTGTTAGTCAGTGAGGACTGCTGCAGAAGGCACCCCACGCTGGGTGGGTTAGACAACAGAAATTGATTATCTCATAGTTCTGGAGGCTGGAAGTCTGAGATCAAGGTGTTGGCAGGGCCAAGCTCCCTCTCAAGGCTCTAGGGAAGACTCTGTTCTAGGCCTCTCTCCTAGCATCTGGTAGTTGCTTGGCTTGTGGCAGGACTCCAATCTTCCCATGGCGTTCTCCCTGTGTGTGAGTCTGTCTCCAAATTTCTCCCTTTTATAAATACACCAGTCATATTGGATTAACCTCCCCCACCCTCAGATGGCCTCATCCTCTCTTAACTAATTACATCTGAAAAGGACCTATTTCCAAATACAGTCACATTCTGTGGTCCTGGGGGTTAGGATTTCAACATATGAATTCTGAGGAGACACAAATGAACCCATAACATAGACATGCAATACATATGTGTTGAATGAATGAAGAAATGAGATCAGGAAAGGGCTTGTCTGGACACCATTCTACTTCCAAGTGGTCAGGAAACTGCATGTGTCTGATGACATCCGGCCCAGGAGCCAGTATTCGATAAAATATATGAGGCAATGATTCTAACTTGATTCTTTATAGACACAAGAGAGTGATTCCTTGAGTGACATGAATGGTGACAGTACATACACTGCTAGTAGTGTAATAACAGATAAAGTATAAATGCATAAAGAATTTTAGGAAGAGGGATCCCTGGTGGCTCAGCGGTTTAGCGGCTGCCTTCAGCCCAGGATTCCTTCGGGATCCTGGAGTCCCTGGATCGAGTCCCACATCAGGCTTCCTGCATGGAGCCTGCTCCTCCCTCTGCCTGTGTCTCTGCCTCTCTCTCTCTCTCTCTCTCTCTCTCATGAATAAATAAATAAAATATTAAAAAATAATTTTAGGAAGACTACCCAGTTATAGCTAGAGAGTGGCTTTTCATGTGACCTGTTGGTTCCTGAGATGAACCTCAAAGTTTGGATGTCGGGCACACTGCTTCCCAAGGTCTGAAAGCCTAAAGCCAAAGTTCAGGAAATTGCTCCAGGCCCTACCTATGCTCTCTGCTTCAGATCCCCAGACTTTCCTCTCATTTGGCGTCTAGCATCGCTCTGAGTGTCTGTTGTCATCTGACCTGTTTTGTCTTCTTAGACATCCTATACTTATCCACCCCTGACTTGCCACTTACTTGCATCACAGGACTTAAACTCATTGCAGAATTCTTAGACATTTTGCATGTAATCTCTCAAAAGTTCTAACTTTAACAGAGAGGAACTTTCAGTACGGTTTATAGAAACTTTGACACCTGCGAACCTATTGTGCCTGCTGCTTTTGTTTCTCACTGCTATGGCACATATCTGTATGATGCTGCAAGTTCTGGAAAATAGGAAAATAAGCACCATGAGAGGAAGGAGTCCTGTCTGACTTTTTGTTTTCCAGCTGTATTCTCAGTTCCTGAATAGCACCTGACACATATTTGTTGTCTTACTGAGATTCCTTTCCTGCTGGGAACCTAAGTGCTAATCGCTTCAGCCTTCAGCAGAATGATTGAAAATAACTAACGTGAAAAAAGAAAATAACTAATGTGGACATTGTGGGAGGCATTTTATATACTTCTATACTGAAGTATAGAAGGTTGTGGGCTGCAAGCTGATAAAACGTTCCTCCATTATTTAAAACACTTCTTCCTATGTACTGTTTTCTCTGTCTATAAATAAACATGCTTGCTTTCAAGATAACCATGTGTCTACTGAGAACCAGCTTCACATTCAGGTAGGATTTTCTTTAAAACACTTCAAATATGGGTTCTTTCCATGTGAAACTGATACGAAATGATTAGCAACTTGCCCAAGGTCATTGGCCAGGGAGTGGCAGCAGAAACAGGACTCAAACCAGGCTTTCTCACTCTGAGCTCAGTGTTCTCCCCCCGAAAATATCCAAGTGACTGTTTTCCTTAAGAGACAAAAAAGGGAAAGAGGACACGCACAACTTTTACAGTTCATAGATCTAAAACTGGGAGCAATCACGCCCCCTATCGGTGGGGAAATTGAAGCCCAGAGCCTCCCTCAAAAAGGTCACAATACAGTAAAGGGAAAAGAGTGACTAGAACACATCTATCTAATAGAAATATAATGCCAGCCATAGTGGTAACTTTAGATTTTTTCTAGCTGTGTCAATTAAAAAATGTGGTTAAAAAACTGACGAAATTAGGGATCCCTGGGTGGCGCAGTGGTTTGGCGCCTGCCTTTGGCCCAGGGCGCGATCCTGGAGACCCGGGATCGAATCCCTCGTCGGGCTCCCGGTGCATGGAGCCTGCTTCTCCCTCTGCCTGTGTCTCTGCCTCTCTCTCTCTCACTGTGTGCCTATCATAAATAAATAAAAATTAAAAAAAAAACTGACGAAATTAATTTCAATAATGTGCAACTGCTCCAATACATCAAAGATAGTATCATTTCAACACATAAAAAATAAATAAATAAATAAGCTACTGAGGCACTTGGATGGCTCAGTCGGTTAAGCATCTCCCTCCGGCTCAGATCATGATGTCAGGGTCCTGGGATGGAGTCCCACATAGGGCTCCCTGCTCATCCGGGAGCCTGCTCCCCCCATCCCTCCGCTGCTACCCCTGCTTGAGTGCTCTCTCTGTCAAATACATACATACATACATAAAATCTTAAAAAAAAATTAGTTACTAATGGGTATTTTACATTCTTTTTTTTTCATACCAAATCTTCCAAATTCTGTAAGAATTACTGCACCTCTCAATTCAGGTTAGTCAGTTTTTAAATATTCAATACCTGCATGTGGGCAGTGGCTACCCTCTTGGACAGCACAGCTCTGGGATAGTGCTGAAGCTCTAATTTGCTTCTCAGCAAATGCACACTGCCTCTCCCAGACCTACATGCCATTGGAATTTATAAAATAATAATCATAAAGAGCTGGTGCTTATTTTGAATTACTGTAGGTGGAAGAAGGCAGGAGTAGCAACCAGCTGGGAAGTATATTTCATTCGTGGAAGATGTTTTAAATTATAACTCTTGTCCAAGTAATGCAAATTAGTAATGAAAACTACATTATAAATTTCACAGTGGGGGCATAATATTGAACATATTTGTGTTCTGAAGATAAAGGTGACTAATACACTTTTGACGTAATGCTTCCAGGATTTCTGATTCTCATTCTTTGAGTTATTTTCAATTATGGTAACATTCCATTAAAACACACTCTCTTCTCCCTGGTACCCCCTCCACCACCCAAGGAGCAGCACATCAGCTCTTATAACATCATGGTGAGGAGCTGCCCTCCTTCTCCCACTTCAATCTGCTCTAGTGCTACTAGGTCACTCTTTCCTAAAATATGCTTGACAGAAAAACAGTCCTGTGGGATGTGGTTAATGATTCTACAAGGAAAAAGAGTTTCTGTGTCCAAATAAGTTTGGGCAATACTGGGCTAATCATATCAGTGATGGTGGGATTTGGCTGCATGTGACAAAGTTGACTCACAGTTTTAACCAAGCAGGAATTAATTTCTTCTCACATTACAAAAGATCCAGACATAGTCCAAGGCTGCTGCAGTGACTTCACACTCTCCCCAGCATCCCAGACTGTCTTCTTCCTCTCTTGTCTTCAGCTTGTACTTTTAATCCTCATGCTCATTGCCTCCTACTTGCACAATGGCTTCCCCAAATGTGTATGCTCTAGGCTCAAAGAAGACAGGAGGCATGGAGGGAAGGCCGGATGGAGGGGTGAAAGGAAGAATGTCAGGAAGGATGGAGGGAAGGAGGGATGGTGAGAAGAAAGATGCCTTCATCAGGAAACCTAAAACTTTTTCCAGAGTCTTTAGGAGTCTCCTACTTAGGTTTCATTTGCTGGAAGGATATCCCAAGGCTACCTGCAGCTTCCAGAAAGATGGGTATTTTAACAGAGCACATTATGTGGTCAACTAAGTCAGCCTTCTCTTCCTAAGAGTGAAGGAGGAGATGGAGTCTAGAACACTTAGTATGTGCTACATGGAGTCAAAAGTTTTCTTAGAGCCTGTTTTGTTTTTTGTTTTTAACATTTTGCTCTGTGCATGTCAAATGGGGGGAAATGTTAACCTCTTTTTTTTCCCATAAAATCTTCATTTTTTTTTCTTCCCCATGATGGATCTTGAAGAACTACTGTTCTGGAAATATGCTCCAGGGGGAGTTGCCCTGATGTATCATTGAGAAAGCCATGTGTCCTAAAAAAGAGACGGATGAGGGTTTTGTGGAAGACCCTGGTATATGGCGAATCCTCTCTGTTGTCCACCTGTCTTGTAGCTGAGGTTGCTCTTCCCTCTCTTCGGGCAATTAGACATGCATGGAATGTTCTAGGCCCCTCCACGGAAGTTTGTTGCTTTCTTGGTGCAGGGGACAGAGGATGTGCACGCTAACCTCTTCCTTCTACCTGTGCCTCCAACACAGATTCCGTGTCTTCCTTGAGTGATGGCAACCGTGTGGCCCAAAGCAATGCAAATCCGGAGAATGTGAGCACGGGCAGCGCTTCCGTGGACACCAGCCAGTGCCCGCGAGTGGACCGCGGTGACGTGAGAGGCAGCAGGTGCCCGCAGGCCCAGGTAGCAAGCCTCCGGCTCCACGTGCGGTCAGGAACCAGCCTGTGGGCGTGGCTGCTCCGCCTCGCCCCGCCCACCGCTCAGCTCCCTGCAGCCTCAGCGGCGGCGCGGCCCCGCCCCCCCTCCCCCGCGCTCCCGGCAGCCTCCGCGGCCGCGGGCTCCCAGATGCCTCCAGGGCTTCCCGCGTGCGGGAGGGCGGCGCTGCCCTGGGGGCTCCACATGTGCGCGGCGGCCCCACCGCGAGGCGGGGAGCCGAGTCCTCCGACGCTCCCGGACGCAGGGGGCTCGGTGGGCGCGGAAGTAGAGGACTCCGTGTGGCCGTGCCTGGAGACTCCCGTCCTGCGCCGCCCTCAGGCGGCGGCGGGCTGCAGCCTCACGTGGCGCGCCCCGGCTTTCCAGACGCGCATGTGAGAGACGAGGCTGCGGGCCCCCCACAGAACGGGGCTCTTAGGGGCGCCGGCCGCACCCGCGAGCCGCCCCGCGCCCCGGGCCTGACGGCCTGTGGTGGGGCGTCGCCTCAGGGCAGCCTTCTGCTTTCACACCCGCGTGGCGGCGGCTGGAGCGCTCCGGACGGACGGAGAGCCTGCGTCCTGGCCGGAAGGGGCTGTGGCTCTGCGCGGGTCGGGTTGCGCCGCAGCGATGCTCCGGGGAAGGCGCGTGACCTGCGTTGCGCGGAGCCCCGGCGGGCAGCCCCGATGCCGCTCTGCGCTCCTGCTGCGGCCTCCCGTCCCCTCCGTGACTCCAGGCGCGTCTCTGTCCCGCCGTCTCCAGCCATCTCCGCCACTGACTGGGGCATTGGCGGGCCTTCACGGCCTTCCTTCCCTCGTGTGCGCCTTTGGGTGCTCCCGCTTGGGCTGGTGGTCATCCTGGTGCGCCGTGAGCCACTTTCGAAGCCCCAGGCTTGGTCTTTTTTTTTTGTTTTTGTTTTTTTTTAAGATTTTATTTATTCCTCACAGACACAGAGAGAGAGAGAGAGAGAGAGAGAGAGAGAGGCAGAGACACAGGCAGACGGAGAAGCAGGCTCTCAAGGAGGAACCTGATGCGGGACTCGATCCTGGGATCCTGGAGTCATGGCCGGAGCTGAAGGCAGACGCTCAACCTCGGAGCCACCCAGACGTCCCTCAAGACTGGCTCTTGACCTTACTCTTCCCCTCAAGGTTCCCGCATGACCAGAGGTTTCTGGCAATTCTCTCATTGTTTTCTGGGAAACCGTGAGGTGGCCAGCTTCCAAGATGGCACCCAATGGTTCTTCCCTTTTGATAGTCACATTCTGTGTAGTTGTCCCCACTTTGATGAGGACGGACCAGTCTGGTATTAGGACTAACAGAGTATCAGGGAAATGAGGGGGCCTTGTTACTTTGGAGGATAGGTCACAGAAGGCACGGCCATGGCTCTCTCTTGAGCCACTCGCTCTGGGGAAGACAGTTGTCCTGTGATGTGAACACATCTGACTCGTGAGGAAGTCTTTGTGAAGAACTGACACTTCTTGACAACACCCATCACCGAATTGCCAGCTCTGTCCACACACCACCTTGGAATTGGATTTTCCTGCCCGGCCTCAAGCCTTCAGATGACCACAGCCCTCGTATGCATCTTGATGCCAGCCTCACAGAAAACCCTGAGCCACAACTACCCAGGTAGGCTATTCCAAAATCCCTAGTCCATAGGGAATGTGCTACATAATGGTCATTCTTGCTTCATACTAAGTTTTCATGCAATTTGTGAGTGAGCAACAGGAAACTGATACATAATAGTTCGGAGCCCAGCCATGGCCACCAGAAGTTCCCGCACATTCCCCTCCCTGCCCCTTTGCTGGGCTGTGATAATGTTTGTGCTTGTATAGTATTTCTCATCTGGGACCTGAATAAGTACTTGTTCAGTAATTTAGTACTCAGTTCTTACTAATTTGGAAAAATCAGAAGTGTTGAGAAAAAAGGCAGAATAATATTTTAAGATGTAATGGATATAAAAAATATAATTGAATTTTAAAAATTGGGAAAGTTAGCTCTAAGAATTTTCAAGGAGCCAAACATTTCCCTACCGACTTTACTGAGACTCTGGAAGGGTGCTCCGGGCTGCTGTGTTTTGGGCAGCCATGGAGACTGCTGGAATTGAGTTTTTTTTTTTTTTTTTTTTTAAAGGATTTTATTTATCCACTCATGACAGACACAGAGACAGAGGCAGAGACACAGGCAGAGGTAGAAGTACGCTCTCCACAGGACTTCCAGGATCCTTGGGATCACAACCCGAGCCAAAGGCAGACGCTCAACCACTGAACCACCCAGGCACCCCTGGAATTATTATGTCTCCATTCTGCTGTGTACTTGTGAAGGTGAGATTTATTTCCTTTATGCTTGCAAAGATATACTATGCAAGCCCTGCACAGGAGCCAAAATGACATACAGGTGAGAAATTGTATGTTTTCATCTGCTACAGTGGAAGTTTTGCAGGTAATACATATATATATTATATATATGGGTGAGGCATGAGTGGGTGAGCATCTGGCCTGCCTCCATGGGGCCTTGGGCATATAACTGATCTACGACTGTGTGCACCTTTGTAGGGTGGGAGATAGGAGGTCATTGTGAGGGTTCAGTGAGATACTTCATTGGTGCCTCCTCCGTTCTGTTCTACTTTTGTCCTGGTTGTGATATATGATTGCGTTGCCTTAAGTACTTGCATTACCAACCAAACCCCAATGTGGTTGTAAAGGACAGGTCAAATAGCACACAGTGCCCTCGCAAATAGAAACTGAGCCTGATGAACCTTGAGTGATGTTTAACATCCAATCACCGTGTCTTAGCTGGCACATTCACTGAACATGATTAAAACAAAAACAGGATCATTTACTACATCGAGATTACTTTAAAGTTTTACCTGGTACAATTAGTAGAAACTATCTTGTCATTGTGATTATTGATTATTATTAAAATATAATGAATTGTTCCTTGGGCAGACAAAATGAAAGTGAAATATAATCTTTCCTGTCTTCCCTGAAATGAGAAAGTATAGAAACAGTGTGTTACCCCCAAAGGATTTTACACACATACACGATTTTGAAAATGAAATGCTTCCTAGTTGGCTTTTTTTTTTTCCTGTTGATGAAAGCTTATGATTTAATGTTAGCCCCTAATGGACATCTGTAAGATTCATCTTGCTAATTTCTGAAGGTGTGGAACAAAAATGGTGTTAAAATCAGCTGGCCACTTCACAGAATGATGGATGTTGGACACCAGAACTACATGGATATAGCTCTCATTGTCTCATTGGCTTAAAACCATACCAAGAAACAAAAAGAAAATCACTCTCACTTTCAACTTTTGACTCTGAAAATCACGTTTTGTTTACAAGCTGATTTGGCTGATTACTTAAAATTTTGTGATAGAAATGAGGAAGAGAAGCCCTTCTGAAGCCCCTGCTCAGCTGTCTCCCAGGGACCCTGTCTTACTCCTAGTGTCCTGTGTGGACCCTGCAGATCCATGTTTTTTTAGGGATCTCAGAGATGTTTGCTGAAGCACCCAGGCAGCCGGAAGACTGCTGGCGGGTTCACTGGTGTCCTTTTACTGGAAGCACAGTGGCCTTTGTTTTGGTAATACATTTACATAAGAGTGAAGACTGAAGGCAGTTGAGCAAGGCAGTGTGTTTATGACAGTTTTGATCCCCCCCTCAGGCATCATGGAGCCCTAATCCGTTTCTTGCTTACATGCAGTGGGACTGATTCTGGTCTGCAGATGAGGGAATATGGTAACAGAATGTACTCTCTGCATCCTTCCCACTCTTACCCACACCTGGCCCCACCTCGGCACCTGCCCACCTGCCAGGAGGAACTGGTTTCTGGTGTAAAGAGCAGAGATGGGGAGAGGAGGTCCCTGTTTACTGCTCCCTGAACTGATCTAATTTTGTTTTATTGTTTTAGTTTCGGCTCAGGGAGAGCAGGACTGGTCCCTTTGGTCCAGTAGCAAACCTCAGAATACATGAGGTTTGGGTTTATATGCTAAATTATGGTCATCATTATGGAAGATGCAGTGGACACCACTTTTCTGACTCACTCTCTGCTTATGGAAAGCTTCCTTGTGCTTTATAGGAGCTTGAGAAGCCGGGGCTGTCACTGGGAGGACAGAACACGTGACGTATCATCGCGCCCCCCCCCCGCCCCCCTTCCCCCCATTGGGATAAGAGAATACATGACATGTGTCCCATTCCCCCCCAGGCTCCGCACTGGGGTACTGGGGTAAGAGAACACATGATCTATCCTCCCCTGCCCCCCCCCCCCAAGCTTATTACAGGGCAGCAATCGCTACTGGAAGGATACTGGAGAAGCAAGTTCAAAAGTCTGTCTTTAGAATGTTGTTGCCTTGGCTCACTGTTTTATTTTTTACAGATTTATTTATTTATGATAGACAGAGAGGGAGAGAGAGGCAGAGACACAGGCAGAGGGAGAAGCAGGCTCCATGCCGGGAGCCCAACTCGGGACTCTATCCCGGGACTCCAGGATTGTGCCCTGAGCCAAAGGCAGGCGCTAAACCACTGCACCACCCAGGGATCCCCTCAGCTCACTGTTTTAAACAGTGACCTCTGCCTTGCAAGAAGCCTTTGACATCTGCAGCTCATTCCGTTTCTTAGAGGTTGAGGAAGAGCTTACCACATTAATATGTGTGTATGTATATGTGCCCATGTATGTGAGGGTGTGTGTATATTTATGTCTCCGTGTGTGCTTAAAAGATAAACTGAGAGATGTTAAAAATTTTTAAGGGTTTATTTGAGCAAAATCAGGTGTAGCCAAGCTGGAAGTAGTTAGGAGAGCTCCATTGACAAGCACTCAGGGAGAGACTTTTCTAAAGAAAAGGCAGAAGCAAAACAAGAAAATTATTGATTGGCTATTGCTTCAAGCCTAGTTGGCTGTTTGCAGTTGGTTGTTCTTAGGTTTTGATTTTGTAACTTTGAGGTATTTATAGGCTGAGGTTTTGTTTTGCTTACTCAGGCTGCAAGG